AAAAAAAAAAAAAAAATCAAGATAACATATGTCCAAAACCACACAAATCAAAATGATTAAAATGCTCACTTAAATAGGTAATTACATCCTAAACATAACCCTTCCGTTGTCAGTTAAATCCCTAATAGGTCATCATAGGGGCAGTCAGACACACAACAAGGACAGCAGGGAACTTTGAGGGATTTAAGCCTGTAGGTGGTCTCCGAGAGTCTGAGGCTGCAGACACAAGTGGCTGAACAATGGCGTGACTAGGAGGTCAAAAGAACAACACCAATACAAACAGGGATGATTAATCAAACGCCATGGCCATACAAGAGTTGCATTGTTGCCTTACAACGTTCACGTAAAGCTAACGACCACACAGATTACACAGTACTATATACACCCAAAACAACACCCGTTTACTTACATTAGCAAGGTCTTGAACTGAATTTGTCTCATATTAGTGCAACAAATTATCCCTCACAAGTAGGCAGGGTCAGTACTTAAATCTTAAATCACAAAAAGCTAAATTTTTCAGAAAAGGATGTTTTTTAATTAATATAAATAAGCAGGAAGCACATGCTGCATCCTGTGCTGAACACCTTGGGAAAATGACAAACCTTACTACAAATGCAACGTAAAGTAAATCAGATATCTGTATATTGTGCATGCACGCAACTAAATACATATATTTTTAATCTACCTCCCGGAAGATGGGGGCATTATTGAAGCCTAAATCCAGGATGTTAAAAAACAGGATAGATTGGGTCACTTCCAGTTAATGTCATTAACACTTCCTGTCATCTCATCATTCATTTACTCTGCTAGTCATTAATCAACCTCAGAGGAAACTGGCACACATTGATTCTATGGCACATAATTTGGCAAGTCCTTTTAAAAGATGCCCACTGGAGCTTTTGTGGCCTTATAATGTCAAAGTCTGCACAACAGACTTTGCAACAGAAATTAGAAATGGCAGTTTTAATGACTAATTCTTACACAAGCCCAGCACACTCACAACCCATGAGGATACAAGTCAATCCTAAACCTGTAGTGTGGGAATTTGTGTCTATCAGGTTGACTGCTTGGCTAGATCGGCATTCCTAAACTCATTGCACTGTTGCAACAGCATGTTTGCACACACAACTCCTGATTACCATAAACACAGTTCCAGCAACAATGTGAATCATATTCTCTGCGAATCTGTCAACCTTGCAGGTTTCACAACACACATGCATAACCGTTATAAACAATACGGAGCAGACACTGAGGAATGCTGTGGGACAGCACGCTAAACTACACAACCGTAACAGCAACCTACCATGGGGCAACTTATGCATTTGAGGTTGGGCAATAAATCAACCTGTATTACAAAACTGTTTTCCAAAGATTACAAAAAAAACAAAGCACCTTTAAAAACATCTTGCCACAGGAACGCTGGGTGACACTGGTAGTTTCACAGAAATGCTGATTAATTTGTTCTGTCCTTTTAGATACATGAATTTATCTCAAGTTAAAGAACATCCACTTTAAAAAAAAACAAACAAAAAAACCCCACTGAAATCAAGTAACCCTACCTCATCTTAACACCTTAAATTTAAACTGCATGATACATAAAAATACATGACTGTCATGCTCACCAGTATTTCTTGGAAACACCGGGTGTCTCAACATATGTTAAAGAATATCAAAAAGTGTTCAGACCATTTTGTGTCGTGCATTAATTCAGCTGAAAATATCATTCTATGCCAACTAAACTTTATATTATATGTGAGATACAGAGCACTGATAAGCAGAGAAAAAATGTACACTCTACCACAGAGATAGGGGAGGATTACAGATTCAAATATCTGGCATCCGCACTTGGAAGTGGGCTGCAAACCAAAGTTGTTCGACACAAATCAACCATGTGTTGTCCCACATATGCAAGCAGTCAAGAGATTATCCAGGGTGAGTATGCACAAATATATCAAATATATCACAGCATTAGTGGGATTTACTGCTTGTGACCAGTTCACCACACGTGTTTTCAGTTTTGTCATATGCAAGTTAGCACAGGGTCAACACTGCAATGAAATGTATTTGACGAGCAGCAGACAGTAACTCAGCAGTATAGTATACTGTTGCAGTATTTGATAAAGTATTTACTAAGTGTGAGCCTTTATTTACTGATATGATCAACTGCAAAGACTGTAGATTCACAAGTAATGATTAACCATGAACGGAAACTGAAACGTATATAGACCTGATAACATGCTAAGCAGTAATCTACTTCAGTATGCGTAACTTGGCCTACTTATATCAACTTCAAACCTCTGACCAAAGTTTATAAGAGTATCTTTTAGGCAGTAAGTTAGATTTCCTCATTTTTCTAGGACATTTACACAGAATGAATCAATATCAGGACAACTGCCTTATTTTTCTCACTGTCGGATGAAGCTCTCTAAAATTAAGAAAATTGTTCAAGAGGGAAATGGTACATAAGCAGATTTAAGTTAAAAATATATAGCAGACACTATAGACGAGTAACCACATCACTGTTTTACATTCCTGACGTCTCTTTAAATTTACTGGGCTACTTTTGACATCTGGATGGAGGCTGATACCACATCACTCACATACACATCTGCAAATACATCTCCGTTTATACAGCCAACTCTTTATGTGGCATGAGCTTGTGTGTATGCTGAGCTAAACTTGACGAGTGTGTTAACTGATACATTTTTGGTGGTGAAAGGTGGTGAAAGCCAACTCCTGTTTTAGGCATAAAGGAACATGGGGTATGTATGAAGAGCTAAATTTAAGGGATTTTGACCTTTATCACTAAATCCACAGATTTTTATGACTTATCTGCAATAAATAGCTCCTAACAATCACTTCAGTGTGGCTACTTTTAACTTCTGATAAAGCAAAGTAGTAAAATCTTACCTGATAGTAGGATTTAATCTGCCTGATGAGAATAGAAAGGTTCTGGATGCGCAGTGTGGAGTCATTGTTCACTTTCTTGTTGGTGCGCTGCACTGTGGCTTTGGGATTTCTGTAGGAGAAATGGAATAAGGGTTATTCAAAAATCCAAGTTTGTAGCAAAGATAAATATCAGGTGAAGATTTCTTTGTTTCTAAGAACTGCCATTGTATCATTGCTTTATGTAATAGAATGGGTCTGTATATAAGCCGTAGAGTGACAGTAGACCCACAGTAGACCCTTGCTTAAATAAACAGAGTGCCATAACAATGTTAAAAGAAACCACAATCACAATAAAAGCAAACACAACAAAACATTGGTGGCACCAAAGTTTCAGACAGTTTCTAGGGTCCAAATTAAAGTACTAAAATTCAAAGCTCTTGAAGCATTTAAACATTTGGGTTACACCAACTGCGGGGGAAAATCACTGAGATGGGGCATAGTGGCTCTGTTGATGGGACGTGGACAACCAGAGGGGGGAGGGGGGGAGTGAAGCAAAGTTAATTTTCTATCACTTTCAGGGAAAATGCACAAACAAGAGCTTCCTTTTACTTACTACATTTTTTAACTTGGATTTGGGGAATGTCAGAAAACATTTGATACCCACTAGGCTACACTGAGGCGTTGTATATCAGCAGTTCTGTGACATTTAGCTGTGATCATTGCCTTCATGCTGCCTGCAGAGTCAAGAGGCTGTGTGCCCTCGGTGAGTGTTGCCTAAGGGATGTTAAACGGCGCATGCATCACAACTTATATTATCACAGGCGTCAACACGTTTTAAGGAGCCAAACATTCCACATCCACACAGAACCATTTCACATAGTAACTGATAGCAATCCAAACAATTTGCACATCTGTGAATGTTACCAAGCCCAATTACAAACATTCACCAATTAAGTCTACTGGTAAGATAATTAATCAGACAAATCCTTAGCAACTTGTATCCTCCCATCATTGGAAAGCCTGACATGCTGACCTGCTGTCAAGCTCAGAGTCTGCATCATTTATGGCTAATAATCTCCCAGGTTTTAACAATAAAGTTCTTTGATAGGATAAACGACACTGATTGGAGGGAGAGAGAAAAAAAGAAGTTCAACCAGCTAGTTAGAGGTTAAAAAGATTGATACTATACTATACTATAAGTCTTGTGTATTTAATGTGATATCTACTGATCCCCTGAGGGAAATTCCAGTTTCCTTGAGTCACAGAACTGAGGCGATGACAAAATGGCAGCCCTTGAGCAACTAGAGAGAAAGTCTTAATTTCACATTTGCTAATGCCAAATGCATCTATATATTGCTGTAACATTTGTCTCAAATACTTTTCATACAGTTTATTTGTTCTACATAATGAGTGTAGCTTTAGATGGGCAGCATTTCCTTCAGTAATCCCACTAAAAGTTCCACTAAAAGTCCACCTGATGAGTCAATGGTTCGCAGAAATCTTTACTTTTTTATTTATTTATTTATTTTATTACCCTTAACTTTAGTAATTGTTTTCTGTAAGACTTTATCAGTCTCTCACATTCTTGTGAAGGAATTTTGGCTCGTTCGTCTTCACAGCATTACTTCAGTTTACTCAACTGAGGCCTGCAGGCTTTGTTTTATGCACAGCTCATTAGCCGGCATACTCAGGATCACTGTCCTGTTTTTCATGACCCAATTTGGGCCAACATTTAGTTTTGGGACACATGTCACATTTAACTCTAGAATACTTGGTAAACAGAGGGGTTCACGGTCAAGTCATTCACTGCAAGCTGGCCAGAGCCAGTGGATGCAAAACAAGGCCAAATCATCACCCCTCCACTACCGTGCTTCTGATATGCTGTTCTTGATTTTACCAAACATGGTACTGTGCATTACATCTGTCCAAAGGTCATTGTTCCACACATTGTGGTTTGTTGATGCAAACCTGAGCTGTGCTGCCATGTTTTTCTGTCAACCCTTCTTAATGAGTAATGCTTGTGGTGTCCGAGACATAGCTCTGGATTTTTAGTGGTTCCTCTGTGCATTGCACAGTCTGAACTTGGAGTGAATTTCTCAGACAATCTTCCATCCCTTAAAAGATTGTGGTATTGTGTTAACACAACTTCACAACTTCAATGATGAATAGACAAATGAACTGCCAAATCATCTGCTTTATTAAAAGGTGTTCACACTTGCTAATGATCAGTTTATTAATTGCAATACATCAGTAGCACCTGGATGCTCCTTACTTTCTTAATTCATATTGAAACAGTAAGGGTGTACTTAGGAGCCTCGTGAAAACTTTTTTGCATAAGACTAAGTAAAACAGAACCACATCCGCTAAGGCCAATAGATTACACAAACACTCAAACAAAAATACTTATGTCACTTTAAAGTGAAATGCAATTTAACACTCATGCTAATTTAATTTTAAACCGATAATTAACAAGTTACATTTCATACTAAACTTAACTCATTTTAACAAACTTGCCACACATTAATTTTGCTGTTCCTATAGATAAAAATAATGAAATAATTTACTTAACAATATTTGAGGCAACACATTTTGATGATCCATCAAAATGATGAACCATTTCACCCTTTAGCTTCCATGTGTTATAGCTATATAAAGTAAAATACCTCCTATCCTCCATAAGGGAGGCATATCCAAGTAATTAAGTCGTGGTATTTTCCTTACCATCATGCCTTACACCAACAATGCCAGAGAGCAGCTCTGATTATCGTGATATGCACTTTAAACCTCAGTGTGTATGCTCCATGACCTATTTATGAGGGTCAACATGGCTGCCTTGCGCCTGAGAAGGATCCTGACTGCTTATAAATGTATGCATGCATGCATGTAGTGTGCAGCACATGTGTCGTCATGCATGTGTGTGCATGACTGCTTCTGAAACACCCAAGAATCGCAAAGGAATGTCTGTATCTGCACAGCTCATAATTTGATTACAAAGATATAATCAAGATTTTTTTTTCCTGTTTAGAAGAAGACGCTGAATGTCAAGGGTTGTATTTATCTTCAGCAACATTCATTCATTCAGAGGTGACTGGTTAAATCCTTTTCTTGTTTTACCACCGTTACATTCTCCTTGCACTGAGCACCATTAAATATACCTCTAATAGAAACAAAACAAAGCATACTTGCTTAATACACAGTAATATAAAGACTCCAGTTATCAATTTAGACCCATTTATGCATTTATTTAGAAGTCTTGGGTTTATATGAAAAGTCTCTCTCTCAAATGGCTGCAGTGTGGATGTGTTAATTCGGCTTTTCAACAGCCTCCACCCTGAAAAACACACACACACACACACACACACACACACACGCTAATCAAAAGGACACAGGGCTCTTTTTAATACCGTGCTAAACGAAGTCACATGACCTTGCCATCTCTCCCCTCCACATGCACACACAGCCCCTTTCGAGGTCCATAGTAGGGGGTCTATTTAACCCATTAATTAAAAAGCACAGAGGAAGCTGTAATCCTATCAGTGCGAGGAGGGTAATGTGGTGAACGAGGTGTGTGAGAAATACTTGGAGAAGGGGAAAAGGAAGAAAAAAAAATGTTGTTACTATTCATGCATTCCATCATCATCATCACACTCAGCTGACAACATGGCAGTCACCATCTCATGACAATAACATGCAATCCACTACTCATTTCTCCTGCACAATCTCTGATGTTACTAGTCTGGGACAGGCTGACACCCCTGTGGATCAGCGGGCGACTAAATACGGGGGCTTAACAGCAGTTAAAAAAAAAAAAAAAAGAAAAGAAAAGAAAATCCAACTTATTGCCTCCCCCTCCCTGTTCCTGCTGATACAATAAACCTAAGACTTTAAATAGACAAACAGATTAAGGATGAACAGGCAAAGCCAGCTCAAGAGGCAGCAACACAGACAACTAGTCAGCAAGTCAGCCAGACGGCCAGTCAATAAGTCGGTTCATGGTTGCCGTCGATAGGCACTGCAGCCTTATGCAGAGCCGGCGGCCACTGGGCTTCCTCCTCTCATCTGCAAGCTTTGATTGGCTGGGTAGGTTAGAGAGTAGTGTTAGCCTATATATGACAGGCTACATTAGAGTCAACGTGGGCAGCCAGGCACATGCCCGTACACACACACCAATACAGAAAGCAGCCTAAATGCGCGCACACACAAAGCCCAGGCCCCATTTGGCCACGTGCTGGAGATGGAGATTGTGAGCTGTACTGTCCAAACACAGCAGGAGGGGTGTGTTTGTGCCTCCATGTGAGAGAGAAGACAAACATACACAGGAGGCCGGTGAAAGAAATCTGGGGGATGAGCTCTTATTAGCAGCCGTGTTAAGGCTGACGGTTTGGTTCAGGATAATTTCAGGTCGGTGTAAAGAATTAAGGCTGTCTGACACGCCCTCGATTTGTTTTTTCCACCACTCAGAAGCACAAAGAAACAGCAGAAGCCTTTAAGATGTCAAAATTTTAAACCAGTTGGTTCAAATACCACTGAGGGCATGCAACCAACCCAGTAACACAGATCTAGACCTTATATGGCTTGTAGAACTGTTAACCAACAGGCTGATAGAAAATGATACCCTTTTCTACCATTTATCCCGGCTACTTTCAGTGCGAGGGAGTATAAGTACTACTTTCAGACACTCCAAAATTACTGAGCACCTCCCGAGTCCAAATACCCTTTTGAGGAAGCTCATATTTACCACTTGTATTTCTGTGATCTGAAGCCTCGACTTTCCTTGTCTGTGAGTAAACACGAATCCACCTGAATCTGAACGGCGTAAATTTTGTGCACACCCAGGTGCCTGCCTGTTTTTTGTCCGCAGGGAATTTACATTACAATGCACCGACGACGCATCCGCCCCAGGCAGCGCATTTCCAAGGAGGATAACAGGAATCATTGCATGCTTGTTGGGTCTCCAGCTGTCCACGTCCACAATGGAGCATAGTCAAGACTTCATTCTGTCGGACACTAATCCAATATTTGTGGACATGTAGGAATATCGGTCAAATATTAGGGAATTGATTAATGAATAGTAAATAAATAGGATACCTTCATTAAAACATCAAACTTACTATGAAAGCAAAGAAAGTT